GGAGCAGATAGAGGCTGCCTGGGGCTGGGGGTGGCCCTGGGGAGTGACAGCCAAGGGCACGGGGACCTTTGCAGGGTGACTGGAAGGGTCCAACACTGCCTGGGGTGATGGCTGCACAGCTGAATACACTTATTACAGATCACTCTATCACTTAGGTGCCCACTTTAAATGGGTGGACATTACAGCATGTAAATTACATCTCAATGAGGCTGTGAAACAGAGCTGGTCAGCCATGGACATCCAGGAAGAAGGAAAGACAGCAGCATGGACAGGACAGAGGACGGTCACTGTATTGTCACTGGGAACCACACCACTCTTTAGTGTTGTTTAAAATTTCAAAATAAGCCCGGCTGGGTGTGGCTCAGCGGTTGAGCGTCGACCTAGGATCCAGGCGATCGGGGTTCGACTCCCAGTCAGGGCACATGCCCAGGTTGCAGGCTCGATCAATGACTCTCTCATCATTGATGTTTCTATCTCTCCCTCTCCTGTCCTCTCTCTGAAGTCAATAAAGATATATTTAAAATTTCAAAATAAGTTAACTTGTCATTGGGAAGAAAACTGCCTTTAACACGGAGCATGAATAGTGCCTCAATGCTGACCTGAACCGAGTCCCCCCAACCTAGGCCTGGGGACTCCCATCTGAGCGCCCAGGGTAGAAACTGAGGGGTGGAGGGACCAGGAGGGCCTGCTGAGCAGAGTGAAAGCAAGTCCCTCGGTAGCAGTCAGCGTGGCCCACAGGCAGCAGCGGGCTATTACCTGTGGTTTAGGATCTCCACTGTCCCGTACTGCTCGATCCAGAGCTTCCCGATAATCACGTTATGCACACAGCAGGTAGGGTTGGTCCAGGTATAGGCCTCATTGTGTCTGTCAAAGAGGCCAGAAAACAAGCTCCTCAGAGCCAGCAAGCGGACACCAGCTGCAAGGCCAATTTGCCCTAATGCCTCAGCAGAGAACATTGCTTTGAACTCCCTCCAAAGGGCACTCCTTACTTAACATTCCTTTGAAATTTATTTATTCTTTCCTTTGTAGCAACAACAAAGCTTTCTACTTGATGTCAATAAAGACTGAGACAAAGAGAGCTCTCCTGTGAAGATGTGAGAGCCACCACCTTGCACCAGGCACTCCTCGTGGATGTGGGTACCTGCAGTTTGCAGCAACACTGCACACACCTCCCCTTCTGTTCCTTCTCCTCCCCAGTGGCCTGGCCCCAGGGGAAAAGCCCCACAGATGTGAGGTGAGCTGACCGCTGGATCTTTATCCCCAGGGAGGCTGTGTCAATGAGCCATATTTAAGGGCAAAAATCATCTCAGTGCAGAAGTATTTCATGACAAATATTTGCAATTCCTTGAATCTCCCAGGTGGAATTCAAACACTTGAATCAACAAGGTTTGCAACCTTTCAACTCTACATGCCGGGTCCCAGGAAAGTGAAGACCATCTGGCAGCCTCGTCTCCCTGAAGGGGCTGCTCCCCCAGATCCCCGTGGGCCTCTGGCAACCAACCAGGCTGGGCCTATGGGTAAGAGATTCCATCTGATGCTCCATTAGGAGCCTCAGCTCAGCACTGTGCCCACTGGCGTGGCCTGCACTCTGGAAGGCCAGGCGAATGCTAGAGACACCGCTTTTGCTTCAAGGTGTCTGATCAACATCGGACGAGGCATTTAGGTTTAGACTGGATGGGGGTGGGGCAACCTCAAAGGTGGCCCTCTATGTGCCTCACCTCCTGGAATACACACCCTCCTGGACTCAGGGCCAGTCTGTGTGACCAAAAGCACAAGTGGGGGGAAGGGACTCACTTCTGAGCTTAGGTCATAAAAGACACTGTGGCTTCCCTCCTGGTGGCTTCTCCCCTTGGGTCCCTGGCTCCGAGGGATGTCAGCACCAACTGCCAGGGAAGCAGGTGCTGTGCCCAGGACACCGCCTGGTCCACGTCCTGATGGCCACCTCATGGGACCCCAAGCAGAACCCCCTCCACTAGTCTGGCTGCTCAGAAACTATGTCCTGAGCTGCCGAGTGTGGGGTCCTCGCACAGGAGAGGTAACCTCTATGAGCAGTGTCCAGAGCACGTCCAGGTCAGCACTACCTGAGGGGTGTGCTTGGGGAGGGTTCTCTGCTGGAAGGCTGCCCCTGGGCACACAGTCACCTCCCTCCAGGGAAGAGCCCCCAGGGAAGAGGTTTCCTTCCACAAATAGCCACACTGCTTGGGGAGGCGGCCCAGACAAGGCTCACCTGAGAAGCTCCAGCGTGATGGTGCCCCGGGGCTCCGCCTCCACGCTCTTCCCCCAGAACTTGAGCTTTGGGTAGATGGAGCCATGGAACAGGAAGTCCTGACAGAGGCCTTCAGAGTAAAATGCACTAACGGGGGGGTGGTGGCTGACCTGCTCAGATATGAACCTGAACCCTAGGTCTTCCCTGGGTACAAAAACAAGAGAAAAGGAGAGCCCGTTAAAGAGCAAAACCTATGATGGTCGTATCAGCACGTGTCTCGGCTCTGCAGCTCGGTGGCCAAGCGCACATATGACTGCCGGCCCTCATGTCCAGGAGAGGCACTGGGAAATGGGGCCCACTCCGCGCTGCCGCACATGGCAGAAATATGCAACATGTGTTCTGATGTCACATTTCCCTAACGCTGATAACACACACGCATAACCTGGGCTCCGCGGGCCACTCTAAGCACACAGAGGTCTGCAAGCATCCCTGGTAGCACACTGCAGTCCCAATGCTCAAGGGCTGCCCACTGCTCCACACCACGAGCCATGGCTCCCAGCCTTTCCGAGAGCTCCTCTAAGGCTCCTGCAAGGTTTGTGATGAGGTATCTCAAGCCCCAAGATATTTCTGTGCAGGAAATAGAATTTTTAGTACACTCTCTTATTCACGAAGAATGCTATTTTTTTAATTGTTCTGGAACTGTGAATACACCTACAGTTGTAGTCAGAGTTAGTTATAAAAGCTAAACCACATAATTATTAACTTAACTGGAATCTGAATTTCCAACCATTTACAGAGGAAGAAAAGTTGAAAAATTAGATTTTAAAAGGTTGCCTGCCAAGGTATGTAATTTACAAGATAAATAGTTGTCTAAGAAAGGCAGTGCTATTTTCAGCTTTCAGGAGCAGTCAGGGAGGACTTAGTTCAGTTCTGTGGCTCCCAAACTGGAAAGCTGCTTGGGTCCCAGGGTCCAGGACGCACAATGAGTCACAGACAAGGGCACACGGGGACCTGGAACTGAGATGGGATGAGAGAACACTGGAGTTTAGAAAGAACTAGAGTCTTCTCTGTCAGTCTGTGAACAGCTGGTCTGGGCCCACCCCTGGTCAGCCTCTGGACGGGTGCAGGATGAGGTGTGCACCCCAGCACTCAGCACTTGGGCTGTCTGTCCATGCTCCTTCAACCTACGTAGCTTATTTCCTGCTGACTTCAACTCTGTCATGTCATGCTTTGACTCTCTTTTCAAGGCATTTTAAGATGCTCTGAATGAACTGAAATGCTAACCCTCTGCTAGCATCAAGAGGCGGCCAGAATCCTGCCCATGGCCCTCACGCCTGTGGATGGAGCCAGACACCTGCTCCACAGAGACATCTGGACAACACTACTGAATTCAAAACAAAGATGCCCTTAGGGGTGACTCTCGGGCAAGTCTTTGGCATCTAGGCTTCAGTTTCCCTATTTCTAAACTGAAGGTGCAGGGCTGCTCCCTGCCATCCCTCTCGCTGTGACATGCTGTAACCCATGGTCATCTGCTGCACCCGTCATCTGCGAAGAAGCCCCGGGCGGCAAATACTGCTGCTCTCTCCCAATGCATCCAGCTTTCTCCACCTGGTGAGACTTCGAGAACAGGTGCTCAACGCCAGCCAACGCAAGGTCCCACCAAAAATCCAGATGGCATTCCCACACCATCGGTGCCAGAGAAGGGGCAGCTACTGCACCATCAGGGCGAGTCAGACACAGGTCCGCCTTTGGAGCGCAAACACTAATGTGGCCGTCCCACTGCGGGAACAGTGGACCTGCAGACGTTCAGGTCTCCCACGTCTCCAATGAAGATCCGCTGCACAAGGTCTGAGACCAGAGCTGACACATGCCTGGCACACACCGTCAGCCTCCTCACACACCTGAGGAGTACCTTTTGTAAGAAGACCTACACCCCAAATCCCACAACCACTCACTCACCTGATCATCACAACACATGCAATAAAGGGCCACAACCACAGTCGGAAACTTCAAAGCAACTATGCTTCTTGGAACCCAAGATACCACTGACCACATAACACACCATCATTTTGTTTTATGAAAAAAAGAAAAAATGCTCCAAATTAAACTATGACAGGAAGAAATGCTAAAACATGAGAAATGTCTTATCATCAATGAAGGACTATAATTTAGAGTTTTTAATTGTCATGGGAAAATGAATGTGGCATAATATTAAATGAAAAAGGATACAAACTAACACTGTTGCGTTATGTAAACACGCACGCAGGAAATCTACATACACAAGCACACACATGGGAATCACACACACACACAGGAAACCTACGTACACAAGCACACACACAGGAATCACACACACGCACACACACAGGAAATCTACGTACACAAGCACACACGGGAATCACACACACACAGGAAATTTACATACACAAGCACACACACAGGAAATCTACGTACACAAGCACACACACGGGAATCACACATACACACACACACACAGGAAATCTATGTACACAAGCACACACACGGGAATCACACACACACACAGGAAATCTACGTACACAAGCACACACATGGGAATCACACACACACAGAGAAGTCTACGTATACAAGCACACACACGGGAATCACACACGCAGGAAATCTACATACACAAGCACACACATGGGAATCACTCACATGCACACACAAAGGAAATCTACATACACAAACACACACACGGAAATCACACACACGCATGCACACACACAGGAAATCTCCGTACACAAGCGCACACACACGGAAATCACACACGCACACGCACACACACACACACGGAAATCTACCCAAATGTTAGCACGGATTCTTTCACAGGACTGTCCAATTCATCTTTGTCACTTTTCTTAATTTTACACATTTTCTAAGTACAGCATGCTCTTGTAAAGACGAACTTGTATTTAATAAGATTCCAACAGACTCCCCCTGGGACCCAAAGGTGGGTGAGCAGGAGTTACCGTACATGCCACCAATGCTCCCACAGCCCGGCCCTGCCTGTTTCGCTCTTTGACCTGGGGGCTCACCACACTGCCTGTGGGCTCTGGGTGGGACTCTTGCCCAGCCCGACTGGCCCATGGCTCATTCTGAGTGACTGCACAGCTCTCAAGGCATCGGCCCTGGTCTCCTCCCAGGCATGTGCTGCACTCCAGGACCAGAATGAATGCTGACTTCCTGCCCCGGCTGAAGCTGCCTGGGAGAAACTCCTTTGAAAGGGATTTCAAGTGCACTTAAAATAAGGTATGGATCTGGCCAGGTGGCTCAGTTGGTTGGAGCATCTTCCCGTTCACCAAAAGGTTGCAGGTTCAGATCTTGTTCAGGGCACATGCCCAGGATGCGGGTTCGATCCCCAGTCCAGGTGCATACACGAGGCGACCAATCGATGTTTCTCTCACATTGATGTTTCTCTCTCTCTCCCCCTCCCTTCCTCTCACTCTAAAGATCAATGAAAACATATCCTCGGATGAGGATTAAAAAAATAAGGTGTGGTCTGGTCACTGCATCACCAGTGCCGGCTGGGCCTACATGCCCGCAGGTGGCTGCGTGGTTGGTGGGCGGGCGGTGGGCAGCAGAGCCCTCCGCAGTTACTCCTCTAGATCACCCTGCTCTCTGCACGGCAGTGCCTGAGATGCTTGGTGAAGGGCAAGTGTGCTACAGGACCCATCTCCACTTCAGGTCAATCTACAAGCATGCTCACAGACGCTCCCTCTCCATTTCTGAATTTGACCCAGGATCCTATTTCAGACTGCTTCACATCACTAGAGCTTCGTTACAGATAGGACACACCCGTACGCAAATGTTCTACCCCATGGTGCTCCAGGCCTGCAGTGAGCTACCCTCCAGAGGGTCTGCGATCAGAGGGCAGCCTCAAGTTGCAGGAAGAGCCATACCCACCACCCTCCACAGCACCACATTCACTCAGGAGCCTGGGTCTCACCTGATCAGCTCATACGTCTCTCCTAGGAGCGGGTTGAACGGCTTGCCAGTCCTCTCCCACTGGGAAGCCACTGCAGACACCGCGAAGGCAGCCACACACTGCAAACAACGCACAGTCCATGAGTGGTCCCCCACCACAAAAGTCTCAGCAGCTGGGCAAGACAGCACCCAGAGTGAGTGTGAACTGTGCTGGCCCTTCTCCACTGGGGAGGTGCCAGGTCCCTGCCATGACGTGACCTATCAAATGGGGTCACGTCCATTCAAAGCTGAGGTCTGGCTTCCCCCTAGCGCAGGGCCCAGCCCACCTGCATCCTCTCCAGAGCCTGGGGCTGGCAGGAAGCCCTGTGCACGAGGTAGATGTGCTCCATGTACTCCGTGATCCGCTGCAGGAAGCTGAGGGGCTCATTGAAGGCGATGGGCATTGTGATCTTGGACAGCTCCTGCAGAGACAGCAAGGAAGTCATGGGCAATTCCCAGAAAGCACAGCCCCACACCCGCCCCACTCAGTCACTTCTCGGTGGCACATGCCTGCGGGACGAGATCTGAAATCCCCGTAGGCTGGGTGAGCCGACCTGGTAGGGAAGCCATTCCCCCCACATACACACACTCACAGCGAGCTGCACCCTGTTTGCCACAGGACGGCTCCCAGTTCTCTGCCTCTCCACACCCTCCGCTCCATTCCGGACCACATGAACACCCAGATGGCAGGAGCTACCACATCAGCCACCTCCAGTGGTTCATGCACCACTGCAGTGTGTCCTTGATGCCACTTCCAGATCAGTAGTCCCAAAGCATCATTCAAAAGAGTAATTAGCAACCCATCACGTCCAGAGTGACTTGGATGCCTTAGCCTGGCAAGGGAGACCCCCCACTTGGTGGCTCCATGTGCCCAGAGGCCTTTCAAAGTTGGCAAAGGCCTGCTTTCAGGCACCATATGGCAAAGCAAACAATGCAAGGGAGCAGCTAGGAAGATACTGCAGGGACAGTGGGGCAGTGCGCTCTGCACAGGGCACTTGTGGGCTGGCGAGTAGGGGGGGCTCTGACAAACTTAGACAAGGCAGAGGCCCCTCTAGGAGGAAGCCTCTGACAAGGAAGGAGCTCAGAACCAGCGTTGGGGGAGGGGCTAGAAAAGAGAAGGAGGGAAAAAGGAGGGGAGGGAAAAGAACGCAATAGTAATTTCAGGAAGAATGCTAGCCTGGTTCACATCTGGAGGAAACCAAGTGACGACAGAGTCTACTGCTTGCCAGCTCATCAGAACCTGACATCACTGGCGTGCCGTGGGAAGCAGCCCCACACCTGCTGGAGGGAGGGCAGTGGTGCCCCCTGGATTCGCTGCATGGGGCAGAAGTGCACGTGCACTCATCCTGGGTCCAGAAACGACCTGAGGCCCAGCAGCAGGCAACAGCAGAAGGGACAGAGCAACTCGGGAGCTCTGGCCGCTGTGGGTGGGTAAGGTGGCGAGAAGCCCGTGGTCATCCAGAGAAGTGGGGAGGAGCAAGAGCAATGCGGGGAAAGATAGACCACAGAATTTTTATCAGCTGCCTCTCAGGGAAGGGGAGGAACAGGAAGATGAATATGTATATAGAGAAATACACCTTGTTTGAAAGCTTTGACTTTGGACTTTTTTAAAACAAAAGTTACACTTAGAAAAACAATCTGCACACATCAAAAATAAAATGAAACAAAGGAGCCCTACGATCCAGGACACGAACACCTAGAGAGGAACCACTGGAGGCCGAAAGCACAGAGACAGGAGATGCACCCTGAGGACGGGAAGAGCTAGGGGGGCCAACTGACTGGTGAACACACTGTTGGGTGGAGCTGATCCTGCTCCCAGAACTGCTGTGTCTATAGGATTAAGCGAGTGAGGCACTGATTACATGCTAGGCTCAGCTGGTCAGCACCAGCATTGTGAACACCTGGGAGTGTGGGTGTCCAAGAAAAGGGACATACACGAGCCAGAAGAGGCTAGATCAATCCTGTCATCCCTGAAACAAATCAAAACACAACTGCTATCTCCCCTAAAAAGACCTGGGAACAAGAGCAATCCAGAAGCCTCCCTGGGGCCCTACCATGGTACTGGGTCCTCTCTCCCTGGACAAGTGGCTGACTACAGGTCTCAGACAATAAAGGTACAGGGTGAGCCAGAGTGTCTTTTGTAAGAGATTAGGGGCCTTGAAGAGGTTCTCACCGGTCAGATAGAACAGCCTGTGCGCTGGAGCATGTCTAGCAGGTTTAACCCCATGAGTTTAAAATACATAAAAAGACACTGTTTGGTTATACTGGTCATGCTGGGTAATCTAGGGAAGCAAACACAGAACCTGAGAGCCCTAAGGAAGACCTGGCCCTTGGGGCTGACCTGCAGCCCTGATGAACACAGGGGTCTTGGTGTCTAAACACCATCCTCCAATCAAGGACCTCGGTGACAATGAGGAAGCCAAGTCAAGGGCGTGGCTCAGGTGCCAGCAATGCTGCTGTGAATCCTCCCCTGGGTGAGTGCACCATGGTCACCGTGTGAGATGTGACGTTACAGGAAGTTGATGAACAGTATACAGGAGTCACTGCTGTTTTGCAACTTTCTATAAAGTCTAAACTTTTTCCAAAATAAATAGTTTAAAAAAACCATGAAATATTCTCTAGGAAAAGACTGAAATGGATAAGGTCAACACAGGCAGCATTAGGACAGGCGATGGCCTGAGAAGCAGTGGTGCACTTCTGCCTGAACCCCAAGCTGGAGGCTGAGTCTCCAATGTGGCCATAAACAAGCCCACCATGCATCTGGGAGCGCACCCTCCCAAGAAATACAGCGAGGATTCTCACCAGCAGTGGAGAAAGAAGAAAAAAAAGCCTGTGGGCTCTGGACACCAGCTATCCCCTCTCTTCTGTCACAGACTCTTGAGCACCTGAGCTACGCCTGCAGCCTGTGTGGATGGCCTGCTGGGGTTTGCCCCTTTGTGTGTGTCTAGAAACCCCACAAACACCCCGATTTCACAAAGGCAGCCAACCAGGAGCACATCCAGAGTTTAACCTAGACAGCTGTTTCCTCCTGTCCATCAGTAAACTCGCTTCCTCACCTCCTCCCCTTACGCCTCTGTGCCCCTCCTGTTTCATTATCTTTACTCCGTGCTGTTTATACACATGCCGAGTGAACCCACGGAGGTGCAGTGCTCAGTGCCAAGCCCAGATGGCCACACTCACCAGGCCTATGCACTTCTTCAGGATGCCCCACACGCTGAAGTCGCTCCTGGTGAACATTGGGGCCGGTAAGCAGGTTCTGAAAAGCAGTAACCACAGCACATGTTGTTATTAATCCAACATGAGGTTGCCTTACCACTGGCGACTTGGCGCAATGACCATTTTCTTCTAACTTCCCTAGCATTCCTGGGAAGAAAAAGACCAGCCTGTGGGTTAAGTCCCAAAGTAAGGACTGTGCATGGACATATGGAGGGCTCCCAGGAGATAATGACCATGACCACACTGGCGGCTCTCCTTCCAGCACTGGGACAGGCTGCCTCGTCCCTGAGGGGTAGCCGTTGCCAGCAGAATACAGCATAGCAGGACCATGGACAGAGGCAAGGCCACAAGGAACCTGAGGGACCAAATTAAGAAAACTTCAGAAACAGCTGCTCACCCCTTTCAACATGGGTGTGTTCCTGAGGCACATTCCTGCACGGGCAACCTCTTGCCAGCCAGAGGCAGCCCCACAGTCATGTCTGCACCATGAGAACCTGTTTACAGCCAACTGGGTGGAGGGGCCTCTGGCTAAGGGTGGCCTGGTCTCCCTCCCAGGAATTTGGTTAGGGTAGACCCTGGCTCTATCTGGGATGGAGGTGCAGATTTGGAAGAGGCACGTGGGACCGTGATTGAAGGCTGAGCCCACGGTTCCCTGTGTCCCAGAAGCCACCTGGCATCTCCCTGTGGAACCCGGATCTGGGTCAGCTGCTCTCTTGTGTCTGCCCTCAGGACAGGAGGCCCGTAAGTGGCCACCTCCACTCTAGCATTCGGCCTGGAATGATGACAGCAGGGCTCTTGCCCTGTGGGACCCTGAGCTCCCCCTCAGGGTGTCACCTTAGGGTGGCTGGGTCAGGGCACACTGTTTATCTTCAGGAAGGAGAGGGGAGGAGGAAGGAGAGAGGAGGAGATAGAGGCAACAGGAGATAAAATGGGAAAGAAACTGCTGTTTACTGAGCACCACGTGCCAGACTGCCGGGAACTGACACCTGGTCCCTTGGGGGCTTTCATCTGGGCTGGATTGTGAGGGGCCGAGAAGGGAGCAGGGAGACAGGAGGGGAGAGGAGACAGCAGAGATGGAGGAGGCAGAGTGGGCAGGCAGGCAGAATCTGAAGTGGGGGCCCTTGAAGACCCAAGAGAGGCCCCTATGGTTAGGACCAGAGACAGCAGGGAGGGGCCGGAGGAGAGGACGCTGGCTCTCAGCCTAGAGGAGGGTGACCATAGTGTTCACTGTCCTAACTGAGGTACTTCTGAGATGGGAAGGGTGCTGTTAGTGATACTCGGAGAGAGGGGACTATGGAGACATCCATCTGAGAGTTTTAAGGGAGGGGAGGGGGTGGATGTAGCCTGGTCAGACCTGTCCTCTGAAAAAGTGACTAACTGCTCACAGCATGAAGAAAGAGGGGGCATGGAAGCAGTTGCGGGGTGACTGCAGGAGACCCAGGGAATGGTGTGGGCTGGACTGGATGTGACAGCAGGCAGAGGGCTGGAAGGACACAGGCGTGTGTGTCAGGTGGGTGACAGGATAGGGAGGAAGGAAGGTGGCTCAGGGCTGACTGGCTGACATTTGCCTGACCAGAGTCACAGGGCGCCGAGGGAGGGCTGACAGCAGAGGTCTGGCCTGCTGTGGGCAAGGCCACCTTAGCATGCAGGAGGTGTGCCAGCATCTGAGCAAGCGACCAAACAAGTAAAGGTGTGAGTACTCTGGGGGCAGGCGTGGAGTAGGCAAATGGCCTAAAGCTCAGAGCAGGTCAGGGTGCTGGAGCCGAGATGGAAGCCCACTCGGGGTGAACAGAGCCCAACCCAGCTGAAAGGCATCAGGTAACCAAGATCAGAATCTCCTGGCTTGTGAACAAAACGCTGGGAGAAGACTGGAATGTGCACTGAAGGAGGTGGCCCCCCTGCAGTGCGCCAGGTCCCGGGCATAGCACCAGGTCATCTGCTGCACTCAGGCCTCCCAGCACTCAGGAGCAGGGTGACCCTCCCGCCTCCTACAGCCGATGGGACCAGGAGTGACACAAGCACCAGCACTGATCTCCAGCGCCAAGGAGGGCACTGCATTTGGACTCAGCACGCTGGGGGCCATCGCAGACACAATGGAAGATTCTGACACACACATGGGACGACTCACCTGTGCCTCTGAACCCCATTCTCCTGAGGGGGCCTCTCCCCAGCTTTCCTAACGCCATTACTTCTGCTGGTGTCCACAGGCAGCCCTCCTGGGACTCTCTGACTGGCTTCTGGAAATTCCCCAGAAGAGTTATCAGAGTCAAAGCCTGCAGGAGACAGAGTGGTCATTTTCGCAGGATGTGGATGATGAAAGCCTGCCTCCCAGAATTCCATGCAAACAGAATATCAGAAGCTCTGGACTCTTCTAATGGGCACGTTCAGAATAATTAAGTCTGCTCCCCAAGAACCAAGGGCAGAGGCTCAGAAACAGGAGAACTTTGGGGAGCTTCCTGAGCAAGACTCTCCACTCTGGCTGGAAATGCACTTCCTCCAGGTTCCTTTAGGCCTACTGGGGACTGTCCAGTGACCTGAGGTTCAGTCTCAGGCCCTAGAACAGCGTCCCATGGCTTTAGTCAACAGCTTACACACTTCTGGGCAGGCGCCTCTACAGCACTCAAACTTGGCCCTCAAGGTGGCAGCGTGTCCTGTCTGCACACCTCGCCCTAAGATCCAACCCACTGGACTGGCTTCTAAGGAAGGAGGACACTGAGCCATGCAACTACCAGAACTGATCGGACCAATGATGATCACCGAGCGAGCGAGTGACCAGTTTAACTAGAGCACTCCTCCAGGACCCTTCCCACCGAGGGGCTTCCTCGCAAAGGAACAGGCAACAATGGGGAAAGAGGGCATGTTCCCTCCACGAGAGCTGGTACAGTCACTGTTACACACGAGCTCTGCTCCAGGGCAAAGCAGAGGGCGCTGCAGCCCCTAGGGCGAGGCCATTCCAGCCCGGCGACGACCCAGACTACTTCAGGGGGGGCTTGCGCTCACAAGATGCTGAGGGTTCCGTCCACCGCCCCATTTCACAGAAAGGAGAGCGAGGTCCAGGGTGTAAGATTAGGCAGTAATTATTGTCAGACCCAAAAAGTACCACGTCCGCTGCTAAGCCTCCGTGGGAATACGCACAATGTCTTCTTTCACAGTCTCCTACATTGACAATTTACACAACGTGGTAAGGAGAGTCACTGGCAATGATTTTGAAAAGATGTATTAAAAATGAACTTCTTGAATGGTCACTGTTTTCTGAACAAGCCTCTAATGTTTGCTCCCAATCCCAAAAGCAACATCTACTTGACCCCCTGTCTCAACTTAGCTTGAAACGTCCCTGACTTAAGGGAATGTCCACAGGGTCTGCTCCTGCCCTATGCCGGGTGGCCTGTCCCCACACCTCCCTCCATGCTGAGAGATCTACATGGACCATTCACTTCCATTACAACCTGGACATGTGCCCAGAAACAGGCTACATGCCACTGACAATCACGTTGAGGTCCTGTCTCAAATAAAGTCAAAGCTCTGTAAACATGTATTTACTGGGGGAAAAGGGAGACAAACATACTCGGGAGGAGAAGCCTGGAGCCCCTGTGACCTGATCCCTCAGACGCTAGCCTCTAACAGGCCAGCATGGGAAGCGTTAGCCCTCAGTCTGTACATGGTTTTCATGCACTTTAAGACCTTTCGTTTTAATGGTACTGATCCTTGGAGGAAGTAGTTGCCTGTTGAAGTCATTCATTCAGTAACTGCTGGATTTAGAGACTTTTTAGATGTTAAGAGGTGAGCCCAGCGCTTCAGACAGTGAAGCAGATGGTCTGCCTTTCTATGACTGCTTCAATGCACAGGGACACTTCCCTTGCTCTTCCTTCCACTGTTTGTTTTGGACAAATCATTCACCTGCATCTTCCCCCCTCAGGCCCACCCAAACACTGCACTTTGTGAGCTCCAGGCCTCTCCGGGAAAAACCTCTGGCAGAAGCTCAGAGACGTCCAGGGGTCTTGGTCACACTGATTCCCAGCAAAGAGGGACACACTGAGGCTGGACTCTCTGGCTGCAAGGGCCAGGAGGCCCAAGGGCAATCCCTAACTCGACACTGAGTGAGGGCTCAGTTTCGCTGAGGGCTGAGGTGTGAAGAGGTGAGTCACAGACATGCCTCATGGGGAACCTCCACAAGGCACCCCCAACCATGAGATGGCGTCAAACTGTGCCCCTTCTCCTCGGTTTCCAACAAAAGTAGGTCAGTGATCTAGGCTGCCTGTCCAGGCACCGGCTCTCACTCCTTTGGGAGGGAGAAGCTTGGCAGTGACTGAAATATACCCCAAGAGCATGCTGACAGGGCTCAGGGGACAGCAGTGTGTGTCTCGAGAACAGTGACAACTGTCACAAAGGACAGTTGTGCTGGGCACCACACCATTTTGGCAGTAACTATACAAGTGGTCCCCCTGACTGCACTCGGAGAGATCATCACTCAAAACCTGGCTGGTATGGCCTCGTGGTTAGAGTGTCGGCCAGGCACCAAAGGGTTGTGGGATCGATTCCCAGTCAAGGGCACGTACTTGGATTGCAGGTTTGATCCCTGGCCCTGGTTGGGGCAGGTGCTGGAGGCAACCAACTCTCTCTCTCTTGCTTCCCCTCCATCCCTCCCTTCCACTCTCTAAAAATCAATGGAAAAAATATCCTTAGGTGAGGATTAACAAAAAAACAAAACACTTTTTTTTAAAAAAGACTAAAAACTCGGTTGCCCTTTTTTATTATCTCCTGTAGCCTAAAGCTGAGCTTTCTCCCCAAATCTGGGAGTCAGGCCTGGGAACATGCTTTCCTGACCATCCTCACATTCTGAAGATTAGGTCTGCGACCCGGGTGCAGGTATCTCGCTCCGTGAACTAGTGAATGACGGTCCAATGCATTCTCTGCGCTCACCTGTGACGGCATCGAAGAACTCCTCGTCCCCATTCATCCTCCGGCAGCCAGGAGCCCTCCCCCGATGTGCAATCTCCTACTGAATCATCGCCCTGGGTCTACATCGATGGCGTAAGGTGCTTCACAGGGGGAGCTTTGCAGGGTAAAATCCAATAGGTGGTGGAGATCTATGGGAGGGAAAGATTTGGCATACTTAACTTTCAGAAGTTTTATGGCTTAGAAACATTTTTTCAACTATCCATTCATCATTTTTTAAATCAATCTCAATTACATCTTAGCAAAGAAATAAAATGATCTCATAACAAATGCATGGCCCTGGCCAAAGGGCTGAGTTGGTTGGAGCACTGTCCCATGCACCAAAAAGGTTGTGGGTTCAATTCCCTGTCACGGCACATGCCTAGGTTGCAGGTTCAATCCCCAGTTGGGGCACATATGGGAGGCAACCAATCAATGTTTCTCTCTCACAGTTATGTTTCTCTCTCTCCCTCTCCCTTCCTCTCTCTGAAATCAATTAAAAAGCATTTTTTTAAATAAAATAAAATAAAATAAATTTTAAAATGCATGATTTTAGAAAATATGAGAGGAAACATTTGTATATTATTGATGGATGTACAAATATCCATCAGTGAACAGATCAGTAAGTAATCACTATTTGAAGTTATTTTTATTTTAAAATTATCTTTTTTTTAAATTAAATATTTTTTTATTGATTTCAGAGAGAGGAAAGGAGAGGGAGAGAGAGAGATAGAAACATTAATGATGAGAGAGTCATTGATCGAGCCCACAACCTGGGCATGTGCCCTGACCGGGAATCGAACCCCGATCGCCTGGATCCTAGGTTGACGCTCAACTGCTGAGCCACGCCCGGCCGGGCATTTTAAAATTATCTTCTACAGTTGTATAAAGAATGATAAAACAATAATCTGGGACAGTTACACGAACAGGTAAATTTCAGTTCACACGTCAGGGGCTCCAACGCAGCTCAGGAATTGTACTGAAGGTCACTGCAGGTCTTTATCAGAGCAGGCAGGTGGTTATAAGTGAAAAATCATGTTAAAACATGTTTCACATCAACACAAAGCCAATTTTCAATTCGGAGAAGTTGCTGTGTAAGTTAGCTGCTATCAGCATGAACTGAAATCAACTTAAATTTCCTCAAAGTTATTCTGGCTCAATATTAACTCATGCATAGGAACTTGTCCCATCACGAAGAGCAGCATCTTATAAATGGCAGGAGGCTAACGCCAAGAGCACCCTTGTCCCCAGGGTCTGGCTTCTATGAAAGTGAGCAAGGTCTAGCTGTAACTGTGACGGCAACATCAGAGGGGGCCCCGGGCTCTCCCCAGAGTGCTGAAAGGGTTGGGGGGCAGGACTCGCCCTCCATCCTCGGAGTGGCCGGACAGCCCGGTGGCTCCAAACTGTGCACACGGAGCTTCCACATGGTGAAGCAAACCAGTGTAAGCTCCCCAAATCCTTTCCTGTTTCTTTCCCACCTTCCCCCAGCCCTGGGGGACAGGCACCCACGCGGCTTCTGGAAACCCTGGCAGGGCCCCACTCAATGGTGTGTGACGCTCTCCTCAGAGACTAGAGGGGCTGTCATCACTCACTTCTAGTCCCTCTCTGATACGACAAGTCCAGCTACAAGAGCCAGCCACTTGTCTGCCCTCTAGCAGCCGCCAAAGAACCCAAGGCTCCTTGGAGGAGAACGGGCTGACTCCAGGACTGGAGTCCTCCTATGCACAGCCAGAAACTGTAAGGACTACTGGTGATGTCACAACACCCAGTGCAAACCCCAGAGGCTCCCCTGTAACAACAGACAGATCTGAGCACCAATACTGTGCGCTAGACTGAAACATGACTGGTGTATTTCTGTCCTTAGTTCACAAAGATGCTGAACCAGAAACGACTGGAGATGCCAACACATTCTTTTGCAAACTAGTGAACAAGGAGAATGCACCAAGCCTCTACCTGACTGTCCTGTGCAAGCTGCCTGTATCGCCCTGCAGCCAAATGAGAGGGTGGTGCGTGTCACTTTACAGAAGAGACAATGGTGAAGGCTCGAGGCTGAGTGAGCACAGTGACGGACAGCACTGATGAACTGACACGTGGGCCACCACAGTGGCTGCCATCGTGGGACTAGTTGCATGTGTTCCTCAGGTCTGCAGTGAGTACTTACTCCCAGTCTCTTCACAGGGACACCAGCTGGGGACACCCCACCGTGCCTGTCAGCTTCCCACAAAACGCCTGCTCCACTGAAAAGAGCCCATTCAGCTGGCTTTAAGGTGCCCACTCTGACTATGCCATCTGTACTGTCAGGACCCTGTCAGACCCAAAGCGTCCCACCTCCACTCCTATGAACGCTGGTCCTCAAGTCTAACAAACCTACCTCTACATTTTTCTTAGAAAAAATATCTAGTCACTTAGGAATCAGGCGATTGGCTAAGAGCTTGTAGTCCTGGGGGCTCATGTCCATGGTTGGCTCACTAAGGAGCAGAGTTGCGTGTTCTTTCTCTTCTCTATAAAAATGGGCAAGGCGGCCAAGACGCGATCTTCACAGAGTATGGAAAGTTCACCAATGATACAAAACTCTGGACCCGCTTTGGAAGTTAAATATGAAATAAGAATTCCAATTGTTCAAAATAATATAAATTCTATTTAATAACTTAAAAATACATTAGCAAGCAACAACCATACAGAGGATAAACGAAGAGAGGACTTCCACGACTCTCTAAGCCAACGTGACCCAACAGACACACAGCACACACATCCTCCAGGGCACATGGGACACTCTCCAGGACAAGTGAGGTCACATATCCATCCCAGTAGATTCAAAAAGTCAGGTATCACGCAAAGCACCTTCTCTGACCATAAGAGGATG